AGGTTTTATAATAATGCAGATATTTGTTATATTTTCTGTTGTTAATTAAAAGTAGTGATTTCAGTCGGGACTTTAACTCTAGATTAAAAATTGGTTAAATTAATCCACGCTCGTTTGTTTTGATTTGGAGGCGCACGTGAAATAACGATTTACGTTTAATTTCGCACAGCATTGTGGGTGGTAAAATACAATTCATTTCCTGAAAGCACGCATCCGATCCATACTGCATGAAACCAGGAAGTTAGTATCCATACTGAAATGTTCAGTATACTGAAACTCCATACTGAATAGTACGTACTGCATACTGAACTGTGACAATTCAGAAAGGGCCCAGTTGTTTTGCTGGCTGACCAAGCTTCTTAAAGGTGTGTGGCTGCAGGGCTGTCCTCTGATTGATTAATTGCCTCCTGCAGCTGTGTTCCAATCAAGCTTTTCCAGCAGGCAGCACAGGTGAACCAAATCAGGCTTGGAAGATTGACTCATCAACACACAGTGGCCCTTTCCGAATAGCCACAGCTCAGTATGCAGTACGTACTTTTCAGTAAACAGTGCAGCCTGAATGTCCATCCAGTCTCACATGATGTGTAGTCTCTATGAGTCTGGTTCTGTTCAAGGTTTCAGCCGGTTAAAATAAGTTTTCCTGTCTCATGGTCTCTGAAAATATTAGAGCAAAGAGAATGCCCTACAAGTGAATGTAATGTCACTAAACTTTAATATTAAAAGTTCGACCCATATAGCGTTCACCCTTTGAGTTCATAAATGTCATGCCTTTTGATTCCAAAAGTTTTATAAATCACTCTTTTGAATTGAAAACGCTCCAAAAAAGTGCTAAAAAGGTTTGATGACCAAGAGTTGATATACACAACATATTATAAGTCTGTCCAATATTCTTCACACATTATTTATCACAACATCCATCACTATACAACACATCTGACATCCACTGTTGTCATGGTAACAGCCTTTGTAAGGAGGCTCAGTGAGTCCTGTTTCTTTTGTTCCTGTCCTGTAGCTGGGATAGATAAGAGTCTGCAGACAACTTGAGGTCAGACACCAACAGACCAAAAAACGTGATGTCACTTTAAGACGACCTTTGTGTTTTATTCAAGGTGTGCGTGAGGGACATTTTTCTTTTTCAGCCATTTAGAAGATAAGAGTTCTGAGAGTGGCATGTGAAAGTAAAGGAACAGCTCAAAGGAGACAGTCGCTTGACAGAAAAAAAAGGACCTCTGAGCACATCTCGTGGAGTGTTTCTGCTCTTAGAGGTCAAAGAGGAAGATTTTCCTGCAGAGCCAAGCCTCCTCAAATCATCAGAGTTTGTTTCTAAGAATAGATTAGATGTGTTAGATGAAAATGAAATAAAAGGAGAGAATGAGATAAGATGGATGGACCTCCATGACTTTTCATAATTTATTTAAAACTTTAATTAATTATGTCCATTTTCCCGTCCTCTCCTTCCTGTGATGTTTTAATATTTAATGTAACTCATGAGACGAAAATGGAAAAATATAATGTGTTCCACTCTGTGCGTGATAGAGTCAATGACACAGCTCCAAATGAGATGTAAAAAGGTTAAATCATAGTCCTGTTGTGTTTTGTTGTGTGTTGATGTGTTAAAAACAGGAACAAACAAGTAGATCATAGACCAACACACCTGGGGCGGCAGTAGCTCAGTCTGTAGGGACTTGGGTTGGAAATCGGAGGGTCAACAGTTCAAGTCCCAGCACAGACCAAGTCTGGAAATTGGTCTGATAGCTGGAAAGGTGCCAGTCCACTTCCTGAGCACTGCCAAGGTACCCTTGAGCAAAGCACTGAACCCCAAAACTGCTCTGGAGTGATCACTGTGGGCAGCCCCGTCACTCTGAGCCCTCTCCATTAATGCATGTCCATAGGATCCTGTTTGTGCAGGTGTGTGTATTTTGGCCCATGTGTGTGTAGCATGTTCATTAAACAGAGTGTAAAACTGAATTTCTCCTCACAGGATAAATTATATTAAATTTAAATTAAATTAAAACCCTGCTATGACCAGGAACAATAGCACAATAAAATCTAAATGAATCACTATAGGTAGACTGGAGGCAGGTCTAAATATGAATGTTTTCAGATGCTTTCTGAAAGACTCAACAGAGTCAGAAAAAAGTATCGAGATGGGCAGGGACAACCAAAGGATTTGGTGCTTTGGTCTCAAAAGTACGATCACCACAAGTCTTAAAATGTGTCTGTAGGACAGAGAGTAGGTGTAGGGTGTTGGACGTGAACAGGTTTGTGTCGTTAGTTAGGGGTCACAAGAGGGATCGTCTTTGTCAGCATAATGATTTATTGATCGTCTCTGACATACTCCTGTCTGCTGTTTGTCAATGTAAGAATGTTCTGTTGAAACCAAATTGCCCTCTGGGATGAATTCAGTTTTTTGAGTCTGAATCTCAGTCTGGGCTGACTCCGGATTTTAAATCAAAACCGGTCAAGACCACCACTGGGTGGTTAATTTGATTCGAAGAAAAAGGCGTCTCATTAAAAATAAACAAATGACTTCAATTCATTCATAATCTGATTTTTTCCCCCTAGCTATGGCCTCAACCTTCACCGGTCCCCGGTCAGTCTTGCCCTGCCTTGGTCTTGGTCTTGACTTGGTCTCAATCCCTAAATGTCTTGGTCTGGTCTCATTCTCAGGGCACTCTGGTCTCAGGTATGTCTTGGTCTCGGTTAGTCTGGTTGTCACTACAATGCTAACTTACTTCACATAAGATATTCAGATACAGAGATTAAAACCGAGGAATATAAAAACAAAACTGAATGAATCTCTTCACATAGAGATGTTTGAGGTGTTGGTTTAAAGGATGACCCTGCTAACCTGATTATCTTCATTATTTTGCAGAAAATAACATTTTTAAATTTCTGTCAAATAAGAGAATATGAGAATAAATGACCTAGAGAGAATTAAATCCACAGATAGACACCCTGAGCATTACTCTGAATACGTTGGAAATAAGAAGCACAACCTTTGTTCTACACCTGGTGAAGTAAATCTATCAGAACAATTCCGGGTTTTGTTGTCGTCTGTCTTTGACTCTGCTGCCCTCTGGTGGACTGATCACACACTTCTCCTCTGTGTTCACCCTGCAGCCTCAGTCAACATGACGTTTCCCAGATCAATAAGCAGAGATAATGTGGAAACACTTTTTGATCTGTCATCTTCATGTTCACATGTTTCTTTCATGTCTGAAGCTCAGAGACACACTAAAGCTCACAATGACAGAAAGTTTCTCAATCACAACTCTTAATCACGGCATTTTATCATTCAATATTTCAACTCATATGTAATGATTCTCCGTTCAGGATCATAATTCATCAATTGTTTTTACAGATCTCTCACTCAGTAGTATTAGAAAAAAAGCCGTAATAATCCAAGAGATAGCTTCTCTCCACATTCAGATACAAAACAAGAGCGAACAGCACGGAACAGGACAACTTCTTGGTACCGGGGTATCATTAGAGCGATATGCTTTATGAATTAAACCATCACACAGAGTAGATAAAGGGAGCACATGATCTGCTGTTTTTAGAGATATTAGCAGCTGTTATCGATTCTTAGTGAATCAGGCCCTCAGCGTCATAATTACTACTTCTTAAATTCAACTACCTTTAGATCATAATGCTGACTTACTGTATCACTTTAAACATTTTATATCATAATAACTTTCACTTACTTTGGACTTTTTATCTCATTCTTGAGACTTTTTATATCACAATTTGACACTCGAGCGTTCTGATTTGAATCCAAATTGTTGATTCAATTCAATTCAATTCAATTCAGTTATCTCAAGACACTTTACAAAAAGCAGGCCGTCAACCAACGATCCGGTGGGGAGGGGGGGTGGGGGTTGTGAAAATGATCTTGAGGAGCCTAAGAGAGCTCAAGAGCTCTCAGGAAAGTAGGTGGTTAGTGACTGAGATTTACAGATAGATACATGCAGTAATATGATGAACTTTATATATGCACAGAGAGAGAGAGAGAGAGAGAGAGAGAGAGAGAGAGAGAGAGAGAGAGAGAGAGAGAGAGAGAGAGAGAGAGAGAGAGGGAGGGGAGCTCAAGGTGCCAGTTCCCCCGGTAGTCTAAGCCTATAGCAGCATAACTAAGAGCTGGTCTACACCAGCACTAACTATAAGATTTATCAAAAAGGAAAGTTTTAAGTCTATTCTTAAAAATACAGACTGTGTCTGCCTCCCGGACCCCGGCTGGAAGGCGATTCCAGAGGAGAGGAGCCCGATAACTGAAGGCTTTACCTCCCATAGTACACTTGGAGACTGTAGGTACCACCAGCAGGCCTGCACTCCGGGACCGTAATGTTCTCGAGGGGCAGTACGGCACTAGTAGCTCCTTCAGGTAGGATGGTGCCTGGCCATTTAGAGCTTTGTAAGTGAGAAGAAGGATCTTGAATTCTATTCTAGACCGTATAGGGAGCCAGTACAGAGAAGCCAACACAGGAGTAATGTGGTCCCTTCTCCTAGTTCTGGTCTGTACACAAGCTGCAGCGTTCTGGACTAGTTGAAGAGTCTTTAGAGACTTACCAGAGCACCGTGACAAAAGAGAATTACAATAATCCAGTCTGGAGGTAACTAATGCATGAACTAGTTTTTCTGCATCATTTTGCGACAGGATATTCCTGATCTTGGATATATTACGAAGGTGAAAATAGGCTGTTCTTGAAATTTGCCTGATGTGAGAGCTAAAGGACATATATCTTGATTAAATAGATTCCTAACAGTGGTGCTAGATGCCAGGCTGATGTCATTAAGGACAGTCAAATCACTATAAAAAGTCTCTCTGAGGTTTTTAGGGCCTAGCACAATAACTTCAGTCTTGTCTGAGTTTGATAAAATCACAATTAAATTGTTTCGAGTAGTTATTTCTATTTAAATCTCGTAATTTTCACTTCATATAAGATTTATATTTATAATTTATTTTCAGTTTAAAAAAACATTCATAAAAGGACAAGAAGTAAGGAACACATCCATTGTCTTTAATATGCAGATAGAGGTCCTTATATTACATCCAGGTTACTACATTAAACAAAGGATAAACTTAGAGTGACGTTTTTCAACAGTTAATGAGACGGAAGTGCTTCATCAGGGGAGTCAGACAAAGATTACCAGGATATTGTAAACATAATAAATCTCTATGATAGAGTCTGTTTTAGTAGTTATAAATAAATCATGAGGCTTTAAGTATGGTGGCCTTGGAGGTCAACTGCATCAACAATTTCACTGAAATAATAAATGTAAAGCACAAAACATTGAATGACGAGCAACACAATTTCAGAAAATGCAGAACATTTTGTGAAAAGCAAAAACTTCTCAAAAATAAAATCATGAAACGCAAAACTGAAATGTTTTTGCAGTTGACCTTCAGGGCCATCGTACATAAGCCTAATGAAATGAATTAAATAACTCAGAAATCTTAAGCAACAGGGGGGTGCAGGAACTGAGAATAACAGAAGAAGAGGTGCGCGCTCAGGAAACTGAGCAGTGAAGACATTTTTCTAATCTGGTAAATTATGAACAAATCTAAGAATCTGGTAAATCTGGATATTTTTGCAGATGTTGACAGTCACACATTAACAATGAATCTCTGAAGACTGGAGGATACAGAAGACATTGAAAGAGAAATGTTCTTTCAAAGACGACCCACACCTTTTCCCTAATGAGTTTAAATGTACAGGGACTCCATGAGCATAATCAAGACAAATTCAAAACTGATTCCCAACTTGCACTCTTGTCTCTTAAAAAACACTAACAGCTGGTGTGGTTGTATTTAAATGTAGTACATGAATACACACAACAATGAGCTCTTATTAAGAGCATATTCTTTAGAATGTAAGTGTGGGGTTCCTGATTAAGCCCATAAAGCTGTCGTTGGTCCAGTGAGAGAGGAAAGGAGTCTGAGCCTGCTGATGAAGTCAAATCCTCCTGATCAGACGAGAAAAACAAGAAACAATTTAAATTAAAGTGATGATTCATCTAGTTAAGATTCATGAATGTTAAATCAAGGTATTGATACTCACTGTGTTCAGCTGCCATCATTTATCGTCAAGACACGTGCCTCTAATTTCCCCAGTCTTCCTCATCTGTGACGTGGAGAGGTGCATGTTAGTTAAAATGATTTCTCTTATTTCACACAAGCTTTGCTTTTGGTGCACAAACATGAAGTGAAATATTCTGACTACAAAGGGAACATATTGCTGCCGACCCACAGACTGAGTGTTAGAATTTGATGTAGCCACTGTGATGTCACCAGGTGGCATCACCAGTTTGTGGACGACAGTTTTGATTGGCTGTTCATCGACAGGGTTTTTTGGAGGCTGCTGTGCTGTGTCAGCAGCTGTGTGTAAGTTGTGTCTTAGTGTTTGGAGGAACACGTTACTGTAACACCACTAGTAGCCGTAGCTAATGGTAAATGGACTTGAGCTTCTATAGTTCTTTTCTAGTCTTCCGACTACTCAAAGTGCTTTTACACCACATGTCACACCCACCCAATCACACCCTTTCACACACTGATGGTAGTGATTGCTATGTAGTATCATCCATCAGAAGTAACTAATCCATTCATACACCACCACTGAAGCAGTGGGAGCAATTCAGGGTTAAGTGTCTTGCCCAAGGACACATTGGACATGTTGCCCAGCTGGGGATTGAACCCTCGACCTTCTGGTTGATAGGCGATGAATCTACCAACTGAGCCACAGATATGTGGATATCCATATCCCTAATAGTTACTTTTCTGATACAGCAAAGCCGTTACAGTTCCAGACATTTAATAGCACTCGTCGTTACTCATTACTTTACGTTATATAGCCGACCACAACATGAGATTAAAGGTCCCATATTCTTCTTTTTCTGGTTTTATATGCTCTTTAGTGTGTTTTCCATGTCTCCTGTGTATGTTTAGGCACATCTATGTGCAAAAATTCAAAGTCGGCAGAAACGCGGCTTCTCTTACGTCCTCCTGTTAGCTGTAGCATTAGCTGCATGTAACGCTCGGTTCTAGCCCCCCTCCATAAAAATGTGTCAGTGTGACGTCATTGTCAGTGTGAGATCACTGATCTAAGTCCATTGGCTCGTTGTGTCAAGCCCAGCAGCTCATGTTGAAATTTCAGAGAAGCGTGTTGAGCAACTGACCAACAACAACAGAGTGGATCGGCAGACCAATCAGAGCAGACTTGGCCCACGTGGGGTCTAACAGTGTGGGCTCAACAGAGTGTAGCTGACGGACTCAGAGCGTAGAGGGAGCAAGGAGGAGCAGTACATGAAAACAGACACTTTTTTAGAACTTTATCTATTGTGAACGTACAAAAGTAGGAACATAGATTAAATATATGAACCCCAAAAAGGACAGAATATGGGATATTTAAGTTTTATTGACATCGACAGGGTCTGAGCCTTACACAGAGTGATAGAAAGGTGTGATGTTGACCACATGCTTCATATCAACTGTTGAGCCTGTTCAGAGAACTTAAAACGTGAACTACCTACATACTGAAAATGGCTACAATGTTATTTGAATTTAAGATTTGTTTCTTCTCACACTGCCACAGCAACACTAAATAATGTGAACATCAATATCTGTGTTCAAGCAAAAACATGTAACACTAAAGTTACTTAGACAGGACACTGAGATTTGATCTCAACAAGCTGTCCCTGATTAAACAGAATTAAGTAAACTGTAAATATATATATATATATATATATATACACACACATTTTATTAAAAATACTGAAGCCTTTTCTAAGCTTGTAGGTGCACATTCAAGAAACTGGTAAATTATTTTTAAAAATATAAGAATCTGGCAAGTCTGGCTGTTTTTGCAGATGTTACAGATGTTGCAGTCACAAATTAAAAATGAATCACTGATGACTGGAGTATACAGAATACATTTAAAGAGCTAATGCCATGAAACTGCTACAAGCTTTAAATATCTGCATTAAAAAACAATAACTACACATTTCTAATATAAAAGTGTTCTTTTTTTTAAATCACAGGATTTTACTCTTATTCAAATATTTAAATGAGCTTTGTCACTATCAAAACGAAGAGCATCACTTTAAATATTTTCCTGTTCTGTCAATATAAAAGGTTGTCACAGGTCTGTATTAACCTAAATAATCGAGCGTCTCTAAGCAGTAACTGTTTGTGTTTATGAGTCATGTTGATATTGTTTATAAAGGTTTCCTGTATTTAACAGAATAAGGGGATTTGTTGAAGTAATAAAGTCACCTTCATAAGATGTTGATGTAACTCAAAGATTAAAACCCTTGATAAATAAAATTAAATAATTTAAATCTAAAAGGTTTTTATGCTTCTCCAAAAAAAAAAATAGAATGAGGATGCTGTTTAGCTGCTGTGACACTTGTAGTCTGGACTGATGAAGGTGTTCACAGGGTGAGAAGAGCTCCCCCTTGTGGTGATGCAGTGGAAATTACACTCACCTCATCCAGCTCCTTCTGTGTCTCCTCCTCCATGCGTCGGATGTCATCCATGGACAGATCGATCCACCCGTCGATCCAGCAGAACAGCTGTCTGTGGAAGTTGGTGAACAAGCGTTTCTCCGCCTGAACAGAGAACGAGAAAGAAAGCATGTCAACACCACCGTGGAACAGAGGGAGAAGAAAAGAGAGACCACAGTTATTTAGAGAAACTTAAAGTGAATCTGAAGTAAATGTCCAGTCATTGTGGCGTTTGAATTTTAAGCTAAATCATTTTCATATATTGGCCTTCGGCTCAGGGGACGTGTCCAGACTATGGAAACCAGGGAAAGCCCAATGTGGGCACTGAGGGGAGACATGAAGCCAGTAAAGATCCTTAAGCAGGGTTTTTATTTCAGAAATCTCGTTTTTCTTTTGCTGCTAAATAAAACTTGCATAATACATGCATCTTTGCAATGCCTATACATAGCCTAACAGTTGCATCATGTGCCCCATGTACAGAGGCTATAGACCTCCATACAGAGGCCGTGGGTTTAAATCCAACCTCGGCCCTTTGCTTCATCAATCTCAAATCAATCAATCAATCTTTATTTGTATAGCGTCAACTCATAACAAGTGTTATCTCGAAACACTATAAAAAAGCAGGTAAAGGCAAGGCCAGTTTATTTCTGTCGCACATTTCAACAACAAGGTAATTCAAAGTGCTTCACACAAGACATCAAAAGCATCATGACAGAGGAAAGAAAAGAAAATACAACATCTAAAAATCACTGAAATTATTAAATCTGAAAATATGTTCAAATAAAAATACTTCAAATGAAATCAATTGAATTAAATAAAGTAAAAAATATAAAAAGAGTTAAAAGTTGCAGTGCAGAGTAAAAGTTTAAAATCTTATTAAAATTGTTTAATGAAAGGCAGCTGTAAACAGGTGAGTCTTCAACCTGGATTTAAAAGAGCTGAGAGTTTCAGCAGACCTGCAGTTTTCTGGGAGTTTGATCCAGATATCAGGAGCATAGAAACTGAACGCTGCTTCTCCGAGTTTGGTTCTGACTCTGGGGACAGAGAGCACACCTGTCCCAGACGACCTGAGCGGTCTGGATGGTTTGTAATTAATCAGGAGGTCTCTAGACCTTAGTCTTTGTTTTTTAACATTACAAAAGAGCAGGTAAAAGACCTTACTCATTGTTATGTTATAAAAAGCAGGTAAAAGACCTTACTCATTGCTGTATTACAAAGACCCGGCTTAGTCCATCATGAGCACTTTAGCAAAGCAGCAAAAGTTACATTGTTAAGAAAAAAACTGGCTTATTAAAAAGGCAGAAATCTTCAGGCTGGATCCCAGGCTCATGACGAAACAGCCTTCACAAGCCTAGACTGTCCTGTCTCTCTCTTGAGCTTTCTTATCCAATTACGACAAAAATGGTCCAATAATTAAACTAAGAAAAAACAGTCAATTGCAAACTTAAAAAAACATGAAATATGTAAATTAAGGCTGTTCCAGCAGCATGGAGTTAATCATGTTGACCCTGCTGCAGCGGGTTCCGGCCCGAATGGAACTACAATTCATTGTCTTTGAATATTTTTCTTTAAACGTTATAAAAATCTCATACCTTCTGGATGGCGTTCTCCACAGTTTTACCGATCAGCTTCCAGTTGAATTTAATGGTGACCAGCTTGTAGGCACACATGTGAGGACAGTTGGGGTCGTTAGCCAGCTCTTTCTGCAAACAAACAGAAGAAGAGATCAGCATTAAAGTGTCCAGCTGTTTACACAGTGTAGTGATGGTGACAGCTGATTCTCAGTGAGGGGAGTGGACTACCTTCCAGTTCTGTTTCAGAGGCCCCCTCCCCGTCTTCTCCGACTTGAATTTGGCTGGATCCTGTTCTTCTTTGTAGTCCTGAAGAGTGAATGCACAGATATGAAGTGACATACTCAGCAGCAGGTTTACACTTTATTTATCCCAGAGGGAAAATCAATTTTTAATCAGTCTACCCAGACAACCATACATTCACAAACAAACAGCAGCCAGGTGGATGTGAGAGACAATTACTGCATCTCAATGACGTACAGACAAAGGACCTCTTTCTAAATATATCTGGGCGGCCAGGCCAAGTATCGTCTGTGAGGGAAACACTGATGCTCATCAGTTTAAATGTTGATGAGACATTTGACCTCCTCACTGCTCTGCAACAACCCACAATGTATTTTGTCTGTACTTAAAGGCTTTATATGTGATTTTTTGATCCAGCAGATGTCGCCCTTGAGCACCAGCATGAAACCAAAACAACTGTGCATTGTTGTGTTAGCATGCTAATGCTAGCGATCTTTATCATGCTCGTATCTTCACACTGCATGTAAATTTACCTGAAATGAGCGTGATCTAGAAACACAGTTAAGCAGTGAGTACAGTATGTTATTCTTCTTTTCTCTAGTCCCTCAATTAAACAACTTTTATACACGAGGGGAGGAGTCAGCCGGCTGTCCGGGCGATGTAAACAAAGTGAAGATAGGACTCTGAAAACTCTGAAAACTCTGAAAACATCACAGACAGTGGGACTCAGGTGTTACACCCATTGTAGACAGTCATGACTCACAGAGTTATTTTCAGAGGATATATTTGATTTCTATTATATTTAATCACATATTAAACCTTTGAAGTAGCTTACATTACTTGGGGTCTTGGAGGGGTCCCATGATGCAAAGTACGACAAGTGCGCATTGCATTTGTTTACCTACGCAGTGGGGAAAAGTAGGCTGTGATGTTATGGCCCTGCGTCTGTGTCAGCTTTTACTCGCTTTACAGTGTGAACGCCAAACGATCCAACGGAAAAATACAACAATGAATAATTTTATCATCTGAATCAGAACAAAGCAAACAAGCTAAAAGTATGAAAACACCCTTAGATTTTTGCCATTCCTTTGTTGATTAACCTTGCATTGACGGTTAGATATAAGTAGAAGCATGCGCTATTCAAACTCTTAATGATGTGATAAAAACATGGGCCTCACCTTTTGACTTATGACACTTCTGTCAGCGATGTCAATGTTGTCTACTGACACCGTTTTCCATGTGGCTTCGTCCAGTCCGTGTACCTGCAGCACAGGAGAGTCAAACCATCAGGTGAGTGGCTTTGTAAAAACAAGGAAAGCATACCAGACTTTTTAAGTCATTATCAGAGGTAATAGGACAGCAGAAAACTAAGTCAACCAAAATACTGTCCATCTGTCCCCCTAATGTCTGAACAAATTTTAACTAAAGTGCACAATTACAGAGCACAATATTCATACACCTACAGGTACAAAAGAAACATGACCCTGATATAGTGAACATTGAGCTCTCTAGATTCAGCTAAACTTTGCACTGTTATCAAAATAGATCATTTTTTAGTCGTTCATGTAAGAGAAGGATTTTCTTTCAGAAACCAGGAACAGCCAGTACAACATCTCTTCAGAGTCTACCAGACGCCTTTGACAATAACAGTCATTTTTACCCTGCACGATGTGGGAGTTCACTGTCTACAGTTTCCACAGTTACTTTAGCGTTATGTCTTGTAAATTGGGTTCCAATCCCAATTCTGTGTAACGCACAATTACAGAGGAAATTAAAGTCACACAATTACACAAAAACTAACACACTGATCAAGGAAGAAGGAAGACCAGCATCAAATGGTAGTTTTGTAGATTGGCTCCGGTGGCTTTGAAGAAAGCATTTAACAGTTGTTTCTGGTTTCCTGCTCTTTGTGTCAAAATGTAGATGATAAAAGTTCAAAGTTGAAGGAAGGGATAAATCCTCAAGTTAAGTTAAGAACATGTGAAAATCTCTATTAGGAAGAAGTACATGATATGACTTCTTCGTGTGCTGTTTTAGACTTAACATGTTGAAAGTATTGAAAAACACTTCAGAGGACCCTTCATTGAGTAACAGCTCCTTTACTAGATTTGATTTTATTGCTAATAATGCGTCTTATTCTTTCAGTATAAAGTGGTTATATTTCTATCACACCTGATGTTTATTCTGCCAGATCTCATGACTTACGTTTTCCGTATCCCCCATGTCAGGCTTGTGCCACGTCTCGATCTTAATCTCAAAATTGTCTCCCATGTATTCATTCTGTGGGTATGAGAGAGATACATTAGACACAGAAAAATACACACAAAACACACATTCAAGCACACAACTTTGGGAAGTCCTGCAAGTCACTTAACTGTTTTGATTTCTTAAAAGAAAAAAGAAAAAAGATGTAATATGTACAAAGCTTTCCTATCTGATACGATCCTTGTTGATGAGGGTCTAGATCTGTTTAACTCATGTCTCCTATCAGCAGTGAACAACAAGCTGACAGGTATAAGACGCACTTCCCTATACTAAATAGATGCCGCTTGAGAGCAGGATATAAACTTTCTGCTGTGGACGTGAGGGAAACACAGGCAGAGATTGAACTTTAATGTTGGGGGGTTCACAACAAATAGAGGAATATTCGTGTGCACAACACAGAAACTGTCACAAAATACGTCAAACCCTAATTTAATGAAGATAGAGATCCTCAGTTGCAAGCGTTTCTCCAGAGATGAGCCTAGACACCCTGTGCTCTGGAACTGCCTGCTCGTATTTCAGTGAGCAAAATTAGACTTTTCCTATTCAAATCCGCTTCATTGCAAAACATGTCAGAAATTCACAAACAGCGGTGCTAACAGCCAAAGAGAAAATACTGCCGTCTGTTGAGACTTGACAAGTAACAAAGTGCTTTACAACAGAAAATAAAAGCAGAGACAATTAAAGCAACAGGCAGAGCGTAAACAAGCAGACAACAAAATCAGAGTAATAAAATAGAAATAAGAACAATTACCGAAATCACAGAGTAAAAACATTTTTATAAAAGAATGTCTTGAGTAGCGATGTAAAACAAGGGACTGAATCTGCAAGTCTGATCTCCTCTGGCAGGCTGTTCCAAAGTCTGGGGGCTCGAACAGCAAAGGCCCTGTCCCTTTTAGTTTTTAGCCTGGACTTTGGAACAGCCAGTAGGGCTCTGCCGGAGGATCTCAGACTGTGTATTGGTTCATAAGGGGTTAAAAGCTCAGAAATATAAGAAGGGACCAGCCCATGTTGTGCCTTAAAAGTAATTCAAAGAATCTTAAAATCAATTCTAAAATCAACAGGGAGCCAGTGAATAGATAGGGGTGATGTACAATCCATGTTGTCATTTAGTGGCACTCAGAGGATGAGGGACACCATGTCCCGTTTGGACCTTGAAAAGATTCACTACTCGTTCCCTGGCTGCAACAAAATATTCAAAAAGGTGTGGGGATCTATCCTGGAACACTTTCAGGAGCTCCAGTCTCTTTTCAGACATTAACAGTTACTTCCTCTTTTCCCCGTTCAATGCCTCTTTTCTTTTACCTGCATATTTATTATCGAACCAAAATGTTCTTTATGCCATTTTTATTTCCTCTCTTTTTCTTTTCTTTTCTTTCATTTCTTGGTATATAACCTGATCTCCAGAACTGGCTTCTTTTTTTTTACTCCACGACTTAAGTACTGAATCTCCAGCTGGTAGAGGGGGACTTTAGGGGGATGAGAGAATGGGCTATGGATCATTGTATCTTTGGTCCAACATGCACACACTCATGACGAGAAATACTCTTCAGTAAAAGAAACATCCAAAGACAAATGAATGAATGTCACATAATCCTGAGAAAACAACATCTGGTATTAAAAGAAGGCGTTTAAAATCCCCCACAGCTGTATAGTTTGTTTTCTTACCTTGAGGACTATTCAGAAGAAAAGGTCGGCGGTGATGGATGGAGGAGGAAAAGGAGGAGAGAAATGATTAAACAATGCTCAGATTACAATTCTTAGCGTTTAAAAACATTATTCAAAGAGATTAAACCTTTATAAATCATTTTGTTCTGCAGTGCTGTTAACAGTTTGAGACATGGATTCCTCCTCTCCTGAGGAGGAGAAACATTTGATAATAAATATATTTTCTTTCTGTCTGATTTGATCTGACCCTTACTTTGAAATGTTCTGTGTATGTTCGGTATCATAGACTGCCTGAGTGACGTCACCTGTCCGTCACTGCAGGGGGCTTTGGTCGCCATGTTGGAAAACCTCTCAGCCTAACTTTTAGTCAACCTAACAACAGGCTATGAGCTGGAGCTGAGGCGGGTTTTAAGCCTCCTGACAAATTGTTACATCAATCAGCTCAGACACAGGCCTAACTTTAGATAACACGTATCGTTCATAAAATCAAACTGAATGATTCACCCCCCGTACAATGTGTGCCCATGAAGACTATAACTAATTAGACCTAAATATGTTTTTGTGCCAGGCTGTAAACATGTTAATGTGTGCTGTAAAAACGGACATTATCGAATGTGTTTGCATGTGTGAATTCAGTTTTATTGCATTTCTGCATTGGCTTAATTTTTTAACCCCGGAGGTTGCTGCTCGGATGGTACTCACTGGTTCGACAGTAGGGATATGCATTCCAGGCCTTCTCGTGAACAAAGAGTGAACCTGCAGGAGCTATCTTGCTGAGAATACTTGGAATTTTACTAAAAAAATAGAGAAAACAGAGTGGTCACAAGTGTGCACAATCACAAAAAAAACTGAAAGAAATATAGGGCACATTTTTCAACATTTTGTAGCTTCTGAACCGTGTGAGCTGTTCCTGTTTAAATGCCTCATGAAATATTGCCATCATGTTCAGAGAGTTTTTGCAGTTTGTCAAAATGCCACACACAAAAACAGAGCTGTCTGAGAGAGCTAGTTTATTCAGGGTCACAAACTTGATTCATGTTATATTTTGACCAAAGTGCAGCACAGATGTTTCATTTAGACCACAGGAGACTGTTTGAAAAGTTGGAAAAGGGGTTTAATATGGCCTCTTTAAGACTAAAACTGAGGCTAAATGAAAATAAAACAGCTGAAAAAATGTATAAATGACTTATAGTAGACTATAAAAATCTTTGGTCTAAGGTCGGCCTACAGAACATTATAATGTGTACATGAAATAACCTCTTTGTATCCATTACGTTCATGCTGCAGCAGTGCTAATGAGCTTACCTCTTCAGGTGGTAGATTTTGTGTGTGTACTGTCCTTTCTCTCCAGGATTCTCATAGGGCTCGTTCTTGATCACCTCCACACCTTCACCTCCACCTGTCTCGTTCTTACTGGCCTCTGCTACTGCATACAGCTGACCCACTTGGTACTGCAGGGATGGAGAAAAACAGCAGCGTTACTGGGAGTTCAGATTAAATGCAAATGAAATAAATGTATATTTTTCTCTTGGTGTTGCTGATGAGATATCACAACCAAAAAACCACATATTCATTTAAATGAAGGTATTGAATAAATATATCCAGGAAAGATCATCAATTCTGATTTTTTGGAAGAAATGACTCCTTCCTTGTAATCTTCCCTCTCTGGCTGAAGAAGAAAAATATTCTGATGAACTCTCTTCACATTACGTGACAAGCACCAAGCACCAAGGACACGTTGACATGAACATTTAAAATAAAATAAAAAAAGAAGAAAATTCCACAGAAAACCAAAAATAGTTTTTAATTTGTGTTTCCATAATTTCTGTGTTGGATCGACAACAAGATTACAAAAGCTGTGCACAAGAATCCACTAAAATTTCTTTGAATGAAATCAAATATTAAGCAAACAGAGCATTTTTTAAACAGACTTAAAGGCTAACTATGTGACTTTCAGAGCAGCTTTTTGGATCAAAACAAACTCAAGCTCTCCCTACCCTTCCTGTCTCCACTTTGGAGCAATGTTTCACACCCATCTCAGAGAGCTAACCAAATCTCTGATTTTAACAGATTCATTGAAATCTCTAGATTCATATGAGCCTGCTTCCATCTGAACAAACACAGGTTAAGATCAATCAATCAATCAATGTTAAATGAAGTAAACAAAGACCTGATGGGAATTATTTCAGTTTTATCGATGAACTAGATCACTGAAAGAAAAATGCAAGTTGGCAGAATTTTGCTGAAAATTCATTTTTGTTTTTGTTTTATTTGTTTTAAAGGGGTTAGTTATAAGCACATAACGTAGGTGCAGGGCATCGCAAAAACATCAGACTGAGGAAGAGGATATGTGTTTTATTTAATCAAAAGCATTTATTCCATCAGAATCACAACGGTTCGACCAGGTCGACCAGTATATGGTGGAATATACCATAGTGCTACTTAATGCTGGGTAAAGTACACATGCTGTTACTGATGAAAATAAAAAAAACCCTACATGAATAAAGCTCAAATGGGGCAACACAGAATGGAAATACAAGTTGAAAGACCCCTATTAAAAAGCATTCTGGTGTGAGCTCAGTTAACTATTCATAGAAATGACCGTGAGTTAACTGTTTTCCTTCACTCAACAGACACAGACTTCTGCATCAGAAAATCCACAGCGTAAGCCTTTTGTTCACTTTTCCTCTTCCTCTTCTTCCATCCCCCAAAGTTCACACTCTTCCTGAGTCAGGCAGAAGTACTGTGACACTGGAAAGAGTGACTCACAGCACACTGCTGAACACTGCTGTCAGGGAAGGCCAACATACTCCCACACACACACACACACACACACACACACACACACACACGCACACGCGCACACACACGCAATGTTGTTCATGTGTGTATTTGAGGATTTAGGGACAGAGGGTCATTTCCTACCGTAAAATGGATTAAAAAACAACATTTAAGGATCAACAACTACCAAAAAACAGTATTTACTGTAGCTATGTTTACATGGACACAAATAATCAAAATTAAAGCCTGCTTAAAAATGCTTTATGTGAGGGTGAGCTACACGTGACCACAAAAAGACGATTTTTTTTTGCTCTGACTTGATCCGGAGTATTCCTGCCAGCTCCTGAGTGAATTTTCTGCATGAATTTGGGATGAGCTGATGGGAGAACGCAGCAGGAAGTATTCAGGAAAATTCACTGTGAGCAAACAGAAGGACAATAGACAGATCACACGTAACTGATGTGACCTCCATGCATGTGACTAACTGCTTCATTCTGTTTTGTTGCCTTTATCTAGACAGGGCAGTGGACAGAGTCAGAAACCGAGAGAGAGAGACATGTGGGAAAGAAGCCCCAGGTCGGACTTGAACTGGAGCCGCCCGCTTCAAGGACCAGAGTGTTCTTCTCTGCTTTTGTTGATACTGCTGACTCTCCTTATTCCTCGACTTCTGCGTTGTTCCTTTAAGTCATGAGCTGCCTTCTGAGACCTTCCCCCTTCTGTCCCACAGGGATAGTCTCCTGCTGTGAGGTGTTTATAGCCCCGTTTCGACCAAAGGTCCCCCAGAACTAAAAGGTTTAGGGACTTCTCTTCAAGGAACTAGTGAGCAAAACCTTGTGGAGTGCTGGTTTGTTAAAAAAGACTCCTCAATTAAAGACAACAAGTGACCCAAGAAACTCACAGGTTGTTGGTCTGCACTTCAAAACTCTCAATGTAACTGTATGCTGAGATCTCAACTAGCATACAGGTAGTTAGCAGGAAGCTAGCAGGATTACAAAGTCCACATGGTGAAAACTAAGAAAAGCTACATAGATGCATGTTGTGGACTTTGATGAACACAATGGAACTCTTCACACAGGAGGGCGGATTAAACTACCAGGGCTGCAACGACGAATCATTCAAATCTGGTTATTAAAAGTGTTGGCAACCAATTTGTTTATCGGTTCGTTGTGCTGCACGATTATACGTCAAACGCCATGGTGCGGACCTCACCAGCATACCCTTGAGTGGAGTGATGGAATGACAATATTCCACACTGTGCTTCTTATATGTCTGTCAAAATAAAGGCGGAGCACGAGGGAGCAGTTGTGTGTGGGTGTGTTTGTGTTTTAATGTGTACGTCAGTGAATAAGAGCAACAAAGAGTCAACTCGACAACAAGCTTTAACGAGCTAACGATAGTCTGACCAATCAGTGAGTGACTAAGGTGCAGCTATTCTTGAAATTTTTCCAGACCCCCAAAAACAGACTGAAACTTAAAAACCGATGAGACCTGTATTCTGGATTTTACAGTACTTTGCTGTGTTCACACGTCCACTCACCTGGAAATAAGTCAAGACTTTTCCCCAGGGGACAGTTAGAAATAAGTGCCTAAAGTTGGGGGTGGGTGTCCAGATACTGAATTTAAAAGTGAAGCCCGTCTCCACAAGGTTGGAAAATTTTCAGGCATGCTCATTTATTCAGAAGGGCTCATGTCTCTTCTATAAGATTATTCAGTATATCACTTCTTCTGTAGTCTAGGTGGATACGAGTCTCGGGGCAGAGCCCTCTTTTCTTTCCAGACGCACCGAGAGCACCGCCGCAGGCTTCTAACCTGTTTCAGTAGCGGCAGATGCTCGGCTTTGCCACTGTGAGTAGGAGGTCAGGAATGTGACCTGTCATGTATAACCAGTCTGTTTTCTCAGTCACAAGGACAGGAAGACGTTACACAGGCCTTTTCTTAACAAGTTTAAGGGTTGGAACAAGACATTTAACTGTGAGCAATATCAGGTTGAACCTGACTGGAGGTGAACCTGACCCCTCGACCCAACAGGTGAGACAAAGTGCTTCAACTGACACATCATGCCATCCAGTCACACAAACGAGGTGTGGCCTGCAGGTGAAGGCTTTATAGCTTTAAAATAAGATCAACCATCACTTGATTCAAATCTTATGTTATATTTAGTCACATGTGTAACTTTAATTCTTAATTTGCCGCTCTAAGCAACAACAGAATCGCTCTCTAGAGTATTGTTGAAGCTCGTTTGAAGCGATTCATTGTCTGATAAATTATCTTTGTATGTATTTTGGACACATTTTTAAAGCTGGGGTGGCTGTGGCTCAGTTGGTATAGAGTGAGGGTTCGATCCCCAGCTCCTGCAGCAACATGTCCGATGTGTCCTTGGGCAAGACCCAAGTTGCTCACGCTGCTTCGTTGGCGTCGATGAATGTGAATGAATGGGGTTAGGTACTTCAGATGGTCATTTTACAAGTCAGCCTCTGTCATCAGTGTGTGAATGTGTAGGTGTGACCTGCAGTGTAAAAGTGCTTTAAATAGTCAGAAAACTAGAAAAGCGCTATACAAGCTCAAACCCATTTACCAGTTAAAGGTAGGGTTAGTAGCATGGAATGGTTGAAAAGGAAAAAGACAACAAAAGGTCTGAGTTATATTTTTCTTGACCTTTGATAGTCAAGCAGTCGGTCACACAGATAAGGTAAAAGCCAAAACTCCTAACAGTTAGTTAGTTAGACAACCAAACACAAGAGCTGATGGTGAAGATAAGACTTTTAAAATCCACTGCCCTTCTGAATCAATATCAGTCGCTCTATATTGGGTTGAGGAAGTAGACGAAAGCAGCTACACATCCTTGGTACAGCTTAACAATGTGTCTGTGGAACCAGAGTCTGTTAGCAGATTTGCTGATAACTACTGCTCTTTCAGGTCGTCTTTAAAGCAACATTATGAAGCAATTTGGTTTGGTGTGCTTTGGCGCCCACCAAAGGTCTCTGAGTACAACTGTACTGTTGTTAAACACACACACCTCTCATTAACAACCTATTGTTGACAATCAAGGTGGGGGGGGGCAAAGACGTTGTGAGAAGCCAAAGAAACTTGTCGACTGACAAGGCACAGAAAAATTATCTGATTTTGTGCAAATATGACTCTGCTAGTGTCTGCAGCCTGTTGTTTGCAAACTGTTTGCATGAGGAGTCTATTCAACTGTTACCATGATATCTTTAGGCTGTGTCTAAATGGCTAACTTATTACATGCTGTGTGAGACAGGTTTGTAAGGTTCCAAACTTCTAAAGGTTACTTGTAGACCAACAAGGAAAGAACCAACTTTTGGCATAAGCTGGATTTATTTAATGAATTTTATGCAAACCTGAGACATAACTTGGGTTAGATTACTTTCTGCACCCCGTATATCTGCGGAACATGAGACAACGATGACACCCATAATGATAAAGCCTAATGTTATATTGCAATTAATTATGAATCATATCTGCAGGGATGTACAATCTGCTTCTTGATCAGTTACTTGTTCTTTTTTTTCTTCATCCGTCGCCGTCATCCTCCGTCTCTTCACCATTGAATCTAACAGCACAGAGACGGGCTAACTGGCTGCTTTGTAGCTGGAGGCCACTGAGTGAGTTCTGTAAAGCTGTACGCACTTCTCACGATATGACCTCAGGCCGCTGCCAAAGTAACATAGTGCTGAAAGCAGGCAACAGGGGCGCTCTGTGAACAATGGGCGGGACACGATTCTCCTTGTTGACAGTTATTGTGCTATTAGAGACAGATAGTTACAGATTGTTGCTTTAAACTGCCTTCTTGCATCTCGAATGTCTAGTCGCACCATAAATATGACCCATACCCAAAAAAAGGTTTTCCACTAAGAATGTCTTCTGCCTGTTTACATGCTCTTTGGTTGAGGGGATGACATCCCAGGGACCCAACGTAGAGAGGGCAAGCTTCTGATAGTTAAAAACTTACAACTCATCTCACTCTATACAATGACGGAATAGAAGTCTGATCTCAAACTTGCTCTTTTCATTTATATTTTCACTATATTTCTCCATCCTTCATACCTATGTTTCCATTTGAGATTCAAGTTGTGGAAACTGGTCTTGTAATAAAGTGACGGCAGCACACATTGCCAGTGTGGAGTCATTTAACCCACTACACACTCCACCTCTAATTCATTCAGATTTAATTCTGCTTCAGCTTACGGCTGTGACACGTTTGTTCCAAAACTTACACAAGAATGCAGCTCCAGACTGAAAGGGATCAGAGGAAAAGCCGGTCATACAGCAAACTGTGATTAGGTAGATTAGTAAAGCACTGGCTTCTACTTTGTTTTAGGCAACTGAACAACAACAAGAGAACGGTGTTGTATGGAGCAGCATTTAGGTCAGAAGAAGTGAGGTGTTCATACACAAGTGCAGAGAGGAAGGTTAATAAAACCCTGATGGCTCTTCTATTTAGCACAAAGCCTAAAGGGAAATGTAAGCTCTTTAGCTACCATTGATATGACGAAGTAAAAATCTGGAGAAAATCTGTACTACAATTCTACAATTCACTTAGCAGACGTTTTTATCCAAAGCGACGTACATCAGAGAGTAAGTACAACACAAGCAAGGGTCTAGAAAAAGGGAACAATGTCAGTAAGAGCAAACGATCAGCTTTGAGTCTGATTGGACACACAGGTGCTGACAGGAAGTGACCAGAGGCAAAGCACAACATTGACGGCAGTTTTTGAGAGCTCTAATCAGTATAGAAACCATCTTATAAGTCATCGTTATCCAACAAAAACCATCGTCATTACCATCATCATCAATAATATGGAGACCATCATCATTAAGTTAGTAAGTATTCATGAAAGAGCTGGGTCTTTAGCTTTTTCTTAAAGGTGCAGAGGGACTCTGCAGATCCAATGGAGTTTGGAAGTTCATTCCACCACCGGGGGGCGACAGAGGAGAAGGGTCTAGTCAGAGACTTAGGACCCTGTTGTGAATGTTGGATCAGACGCCTTTCATTGGCAGAGCGTAGTGGGCGGGAGGGAGTGTAGACCTGGATGAGAGAGTTAAAGTAAGGAGGAGCCGTTTTGGTCGCTGTTTTATAAGCGAGCAGCAGAGTTTTAAATTTGATGCGAGCAGTAACTCGGAGCCAGTGTAAGGAGATGAACAGCGGAGTGACATGTGCTCTTTTACGAGGGTTGAAGACCAGTCGTGCTGCTGCATTTTGTATCATCTGCAGGAGTTTGATAGTTCATGTAGGAAGACCTGCCAGTAGAGAGTTGCAATAGTCGATGCATGATATTACAAGAGCCTGTACCAGGAGCTGTGTAGCGTGTTCTGACAGGTAAGGTCTGATCTTCCTGATGTTGTACAGGGCAAAAATATGTAAATAACCCTGTTCTGACTAGCGTTTTAAGCCGCGATATTTACGCCCCTCTGACATTTCACCTCCAATCTGATAGTCCGGGAGGCGTAATGGGGGGACGAAGTGATCCCACCTCTGTACCGTCTTCAGAGGAAGTAAGAGGCGTTACAGAGGCGAGACGATTTCTGCCGACCAGTGGGGGGAGCCTGGCGTTGTGAGTGTGTGCGTGCAAGTCTCACTCTGTCTATGTGGAGCTCCCGCTTGTGCTGTGCTTCCACAACAGCAAATGTGAATGTAAATGTAATTGTGAATTCACAGACTGGGACAACAATACAACACCATCGAGGAATCAAATATGAAACGTACAAAGACTTGATGATGGCTGAGCTTAGTTACGGCATTTGCAGCCAAAAGCAGTCTGAAAAGGGTTAATCATGTGTCACCTGTTAGAGGCAGACCAACGTAACAGTCCTGAGACTAAGGCCGGACCTCGACTAATCTCAAACACTCCAACTACATGACACGACCTTACAGGGGAGCAGATGTAAACAGGACAGAAGCCCCTTTCACATTGGGGCACCCAACATTTTCACTTGAGATGAGTACTCAGGAAAAACATGGAGTTGAGTTCTTCTTCTATTTCTGGCAGAGTAGACCAACGGGAGAAGTCGAAAATGGCTTTACTATAATAAATATGAAACTCATGACAGACAGCATTTAGCATCAGTGTTCACAGTGAAGTTGTAATCTCTGGTAAGAGTGATTTTAGTCATGTTAAATAAATATTTCACATGTAAACATCTGGTCTCTGTATCTCACAGCGATAGGGACAGAAGATAGCTAAATATAAGAGGTTAAGCTAAATCTGAAACATTAATACAACGTTAATGTCAGAGATCTTTAACCGCCTCTAACAGGATAAAAGTTTAGAGTTCTTACCTCCTCCACTGATATGGGCAGGACAATCCGGCTATAGGAAAAAATAGACACAAAGAAGAAGATACACATTAGGTTACGAAGAGATGAAAAAATAAGAATGTTAATTAAGTTATATCAATTTATGTCAGCAAAGAAAAAAAACGAAAACAGATGATAAGGCCGGAGATATACTTTCTGTTTAACCTGCTGCATCATAACTGTAATTGTATAAATAAGGTACTATACACAATGCATGTTACTGGATGAATGGTAATAATTTCTAGTCTTCTCACTACTCAAAGCGCTTTTACACCGCAAGTCACACCTATTCACACACTGATGGTAGAGGCTTCTATACAAAGCGACCAACAGAAGTAACTAATCCCATTCATACATATTCTAACACCGCAGCGGGAGCGGACGTGGCTGCAGGAGCTGAGGCTCTAACCCCCGACATTCTGGTTAAGAAGAGACAACCTACTCTACCAACTGAGCCACAGTCGCCCCTGAAGTCACCCCTGAAGGACACATCTAGAGTCCACACACCAGAGCACTCAGGCCCTATACAACAACCTGATGTACAGGATGTAAACTACAGACATGGAGACATTCGAGGAGATGTTAATTCTATAATTAATCGCTTTATTCTACAATAGTAACATCAGATCAGCAATCATCAATCAGATCAGGACAAAAACACTCCCTCTTTGAGAGAAATGTAATGGTACCAGTGTTTTGGTTTGTGACCGTGTTAATCGGTGGCTTTCTGCGTACAATGACAAAAAAGTCACTTTATTGAAGTACACAGATGACTTGGCCCTTGTTGGGCTGTTACAGAAAAAAACGATGCTTCTGCTGAAGCTGCGTTTTCCCCCGGCATAAAGACCCTGGAGACATGGTGTCACACTCGCCGGCTAGAAGGCTTGTTGAGCTGAAACACTGATCTTGCTTCTGTTTAGTTTTGCAGGTTTCCACGACAACTACTAAAATAGTTTCTTCTTTTCTTTGAGCAGAGAAAATAACACATCGTAGAGATGTGGATGATAACACACTTGGTTTATCAGTTTTTGTTTGTTTGTCTTCTGTTGCATCCTCTCTGGCTCTGCACTGCCCCCTATTGGTCATGTGTATAATGCATCATTTGCATTTTTGAGTACTTGCACAGCTGACACGCCAGACAGACGTGGAGACAAGTGGCAGCCGTCATGTTCACAAATAAACACAATAAAAAGCAAGTTCATCTCTGTTTGTAAGTGTCAAACTATAATTAAAATGTTTTAAGAAATGGGAACCTGTGAAGTTAAAGGCTTTATATTTTTCACACTTAAATATAATACAAATCAAGTATATCCTCTGAAAATAACTCTGTGAGTCATGACTGTCTACAATGGGTGTAACACCCGAGTCCCACTGTCTGTGATGTTTTCAGAGTTTTCAGAGTCCTATCTTCAGTTTGTTTACATCGCCCGGACGGCCGACTGACTCCTCCCCTCGTGTATAAAAGTTGTTTAATTGAGGGACTAGAGAAAAGAATAATAACATACTGTACTCACTGCTTAACTGTGTTTCTAGATCACGCTCATTTCAGGTAAATTTACATGCAGTGTGAAGATACGATCATGATAAAGAGCGCTAGCATTAGCATGCTAACACAACAATGCAGCACGAGTTGTTTTGGGTATATAAAGCCTTTAAGTCTCAGGGATAGTTTTGCTGTATTGATATAGCTAGCTTATAGGCCTACATGGTTTCTATATTTCTTAAAGAGGTACTACAGCAACTTAGTAATCTTTGGAACTCTGAACTTTTTTTTTTTTTTTTTTAAATGTTTAAAATCCAAGCAGCATTTGCCAACTTTCTGTATGAAACAAAAAATGCCTATGTCATCATCATGAAATAAGAACTGATTTCATTACAGTTTGGGGGTTATAATAACCAGTAGTTAAATCTCTGATGGTGTCAGTCTATCATAGGAACCTAAATAACAGGAAGAGGAAATTATAAAACTGCAATGAGAGACCAAATAAACCTGGTACTTGTTGTGGAAACCTTGCATGTGTGCAGTCTTTGTGTATCCCTCTCTAGTCCAGCCTTGATACAACAGCCAATTAATCACCACCTGTTGTTAGTCTAGCAGGGCCTGAATATTTCATAAGAACAGATCAGAGTGACAGAGGAGCCGGCCAGGTATAAAATGGATGTTAGTGACTCTTACACTAACCAAAAAAACCCTGAACAATTTACAAGTTCTGCCCATTGCAAACCACAAATAAGTCAGTTTACCTAAATTTACAAGTAGGATTTTTTTTGGTCCTTGAGTTGATCCTCTTAGCATGCTTATTAAACATGGCTGATCCTTTGAATGCACTTTGCACCATGATCAGATGACAGCCAGCTACTGGATGTTGTTCAAGCAATTATGTGCATATGAAATGCCAGTAATAAAAGCACCTGTCTCAGGAGTAACACGAATTAAAAAGGTTTCATTCATTTAATCCCTTCAATCAAGTCATTTTAGGCACATTTGCTCTGATCGTTCCCAAACTCAACCACACCGAACTCCGTTTAAACATTTGCCAATTTCAGATTACTTCAAATGTATATTTCTGCACACGCCCATTTGAAGATAAAACTAAACGCTTTCACAACATTTCAGTGGAAATCTCCAATTCGGCATACATAAATAACTCACATAATGAATAAATTCATGTGGAATTAAACTTTTAAAGTTGTTTCGCCGCACTCTTACCGTCCTTGTCAGCAATTATCTGGCAGGGAAACCATTCTTTAACCTTAAGAGGAGGTTAATCGATGTTTTGAATATATTAACTTAAACTTATCGATGCCGACACTGTTGAATTTACACACAGTTGGCTATTCACTGTATCGCAAATGAATTTAAGCTGACCACTAAATTGAATTTAAAATGGCAACAACTTTGTATGGAGTTCAACCAACCTGAGATGTTGAAACACGTTAGCTCAGCGGCGTTTAAGTACATTTTTAAACCGGTAGAAGAAAGTTAATGTACTCACAACTCCTTAATAATCATGTTGACTGTTCCTCCGTTAGCTAGAAACTTCTTAAAGATCCTCTTTACAGCTGACAGATGCCGCTCATTCACCGCTGCTGGACGACTCTCACTCCGGGGTTTCTTCCTGGAAGATGCCGTATGCGTGTGAAGGGGCGTGGCGTCGACGGAGGAGGAGACTCCCACCTTTAGTTTCAGGTAGGCCTTACTGCAATGAGACGTTCAAGTCAACTGGGAAACCATGATGTTATCTAATCAAATGTTACCTTTATGCTGGGATTATTGCTTTATGACAGTACTCCCACAAGAGGCTGTTTATATAAGAACTCGTTTAATTTCCAACCTGTCCAAAATGACTCACAACTTTATTTGCACAGCATTTTTTATACAAGAAAGCACAGCTCAAGGTTTACAACATACATGCACTTATAAAAGTGTTGACACTGCATATTCATAAAAAACAGCGAAAGGGCCATAATGATAATAAAATGAAAAGTTAATTAACGTAGATGGTACATTTGAACCTATTTTATTTGACTAAGGTGAAAGTAATGATAAATTAAATATTTAAAATGCGAATCAAAAGAAGATAAACAGTTAATAATAATGGTCACATAGTTTAACATTAGAATATATAATCTGTTAAATCATAGTAGAGTATGAAAGCAAGGATATGACTGAAGCCCATAGACTGTAAATATTAAGGGACAGCCATAAAGTCAGATCTTCAGGGTATATTTTTGTTTGTTCAAGTTTTTAATGCAATACTGTAGTTTATTTATTTATTTTAAATCGACAAGGATCAAAAAAATATATATAATAACTTATGTACAGCCACTACTGAGGAGTGTGTAATATTTTTGATCATCATACTGATGTTGATCGATTAATTTTACAAGATAGTTTGACTTTAATTTGTGGAAAGAATAAAAATATTTGCAAAATTTAGTTAATTTCATTTTACACATTTACTTAATTAGTCATTAGATTCATTAATATTTCCGAGACCTTTATTTAACCTCTGAACATCGTGTACTCATGATCAAATTGTGCAATTATTGGGTCTCATGTACTGAGTGCATCTCCTTGTCTTCTCAGTCTACTGAGCAGTGTGTGCGTAAACGCCCAGGTGTGGTCAAACCAGTGCAGGGAGAGAACCTGTTGACGACTCTGGTTCAGGTTCAACCTGTTTATGAGACATTTCCATGGGTGTGGGTGAGACTGACTACCCAGGGTCCCAATGGAGGAAGGGGGCCCTTGTTTGTCTTAATCTATATGTGGTAGACAACACCAAACATGGAGCCCTTGAATGCAGACTCTCACCTGTCCCCTCCCCCGGCTCACTAATAAGGTGAGCTAATTTAAGGCACCTGGATGCCTAATACATGGCTCGTGCTCTTGCTCCTGTCTGGCATCTGTCTAGTGTTGCTGCTAGTGCGTACAGCTTTGATGCAATGTTTAACTTGTTTGTTTTAATAGTTAATGAGATCATTGTTTGGTTGTTGCTGCAGCTGTGATAGTTGGTCCATGGTTCCTTGCTCCCCAGATCAGTTCTGACTAATTCCCCGTGGTGGTGAGTAGGGGGGTTCAGTATTTTTAGCTTTGAGTTGAAACATGGATTTACTTTTATTAATAGTTGTTTTCCTTTTAGGTGGCTTTAACTGCTGCTGTTTTGCCCTTTTAGTAGTGTTTGCCTTTAGTGTAAGTACTTTTCTTTTTGGTCCCTTTATCTCATTGATTGTCCCTGTTAAGCTTTGTTTGGTTTGTGCATATCATTCTGTTTTTGCATGACTTTGACTTAGTTTTTTATTTAGTTTGCCGTCAACCAACTGGAAATTGCTTGTTTGCTTTGTTTTCGTTATTGAATTATTTGTGTTTTTCTTTCAGCCACTTAGTTGGGGAGGCTAGGTACGCAGAGTGAGGTCCCCACACTTTGCATGTGAGTTATGAGCTCTGGGTCACAAATAGATGACACTAAAGTTTGGATTGCTGTGAGATTTGCTTCAAGAAGGTGAGTATGTGGTAGCACCCCCACACCTTCCTCAGTGTAGTCTGCCTCTTAACTAGTGGCTTAAGCTCAGTTTTGGTTTATTTCTGGATTGGTAGTGTTTTAAACCCCACCTTAAATTTTACATATTTTAGATTATGTGATCAATAAACATGATATCTTAATTGTCCTTATTAGTATTTGCATTATTATATTTTTAGTTTAGTTTAACCATTTTTTTTTCTTCCCCACAGCTTAATTCCACCATAGTTTGCATATTTTCATAAATTCTTTTGAAACCACATCTCTGTCTCATCAGTGTTCGAATCTGTGTGTCTTAATTATTTTACATTTGGAGTTTTAAGTTGTGTATTTCCTGGGGTGCAAGCCCCCAGGTGGTGTTGTTGGTTATTATTTGACACAAGATACTACCATTCACCAAGCACCAAAAAGTACTGCATCCAATGTTGGGTAATTTCAGTTTTTGATTGTCTAAAACTGTACCACTGTTGTTTTTAAAGCTTCAGAACTTTGTGTGGTTCCTTCCACAGGTCCCTCACAGCAGAAGACTTCACCTGTCCGACCGTAGGGATGATCTCAAGATGTGGGACATGAGACAAAAAAAACAATGGGGAAGTGTCAGACAAAACAACAGAGTCTGACTCTGTTATGACATTTTTGTCATATCAATACTATGTTAAGTTTGACACATTCACAATATGTTGATATTGTTTAGACTTTACATAGAACATTTTCAAGGTCGATTGCAGGAAGAAATCCAGGTAAAGTTGGGGTTAAAATCTCAGCTGTTTGGGTTTACACAGACAGCTCACCCTGAAAACCATTAATATTTGTGATGACAAAGGGCTCGAGAAAGCAGCAGAGGTGAGGCAAAGTCATTGCTTTGTAAGTCACAAGTAAAGATAGTCAAGTCAAAAGTCCTAACCTTTGAATTTTGAGTCCTGAACAAGTTGCAAGTCTATCATGATTTTGTAGAGTCCAAAGTCATCAAATCTGTGACTCGAGTCCACACCTCTGGAAAACAGTGCCAGTCAGAATTTAAGAGTGAAAACAAAACCTGTTTTTTTTTTTTTTCTGAAATATAACAGAAAAGTGCAGAGTGATTCACATTCACAGCATTAAAATCAGAAGACATATCTTTATAGAAATTACTATTGTTTATTTTGATTCATATCTTGATCTGCCTTTCTTTTATTTTTACGTTGAATCTTGAAATACAATTGACAACGGCTATACTGTGGTAGAAGACAAAATAAATTCAAATATAAAACACAAGAACATGAAGATACACATTCATCGTAAACATCATGATGAAACGAAAGTATAATCATAAAAAATGGTACAACTAAAATGGAGCATGGCAGGTCGAAAAAAAAAATACAAAAAAGGTTTGTGCCAAAGGGAAGGCGTCTGTATAACAGCTGATATCCCCTTTACCTGTCATCACACACAACCTTTAAAACACAATCAATACACCTATAGACTTCCCATCATACAGTAGCAGGTGAGGTGACGGCACTGAGGACCGGCTGACTCTGAGACGTTTAAGGTACGGCAGTGAGGGGTAAAGTGCTGAGAAGTTTTGAAAAATGAAGAATCAACGTCCATCTTTTTTCCACATTCATAGTGATGTTGGAGCACCAGAGCGTACCTGCACCTGCTTTATAGTCCCAGAGACACACCAGCACACTGCCAGGTACGCTCTATGAAGCTTGAGTTGTTAACATGGGTTTTTAAGAATGGTAAATGTGAATAAAGTTGCATGAAGTCAAACAAAAAGTGTACATTTCTTTGCAAAAACTCAAACTGTTGCATCTCTGAAGTACAAAACTGGTGTGTAAAACTCTGCATTGAAGCTCTTTAAGAGGGATTCCTACAACTGCTGCGGCAAAGACGACGAACACAACCAACACCTTGTTTCTGTTCATTTTGTTTTCTCTCTTTCTTTTGAAACTAATTGAATATTTGAAGATCAAAGAATTAACTACAATCAGTCTATAACTAGTGTCAAATAACAACAGTGACATCTGGTGGTGGAATCTTCAACTACACCCTAAGGTAATTTAACAGTACTAGATTATTGGGCAGATGAAATGTTCTCCACTTGTAAAACTTAAGCAGGAGCATTAACAAAGTCATCAAACATTTCTGAGGGATGTAATCTGAGAACACACTCCTGACTACAAACAGGCAGTAAAACCATCTGCTCCTCCTCATCCTCCATGTGATCCCACCTTTCAAAACCATCACTATGACAACCATGTTTTACAGAGGACATGACAACTACTAGGAGCTAGGTGAAAGATTTTTCAGCCTACGTTGGAACAATCTCAGCAAGTGAAACACATCACAAAAGTAAAACTCATCCCTAAACAAGAAATTAGGTTTAAGATAGACTACGATTAAAGTCACAGAGCTGCTGACACACAGAGCTGGACTTTGCCATGAAAACGCTCAAAATGCTCCTGGTCCCTGAGAAAAGTTTTTGCTCTGAAAATGAGACTCAAGTACGGACTTGTTCTTCAGGTCCATCACAAAAAGCAGAGCTGGTAAACAATTAGACGACTCAGACCTTCATTAGTTGAAGAAACTGTTGTTTGAAACCTGTTAAACCAGTTTTCTACTTTCTGGGATACAACAGTGTTAAAGTTTGAATAAAGAATTGCAAAGAAAGTAGATGTGAGTTTGCACAAACCAATTTTTGGTTTTGTGCCAAAGGGAAGGTGAAAAAATTGGTCAGAGTCCTCGGACAAGACTTTGACATATGACATGTTACAATTGGCTTTTTGAACTGATTAATTCCTTGTAACACGTGATACACAGCTGTCTGCCAGATACACATCTGGAGTTAAAAAATCAAAATGACAATGTAGATTTCTTCAAATTTATCTTCTCACTGGACACAGTTAAAAATTGCAACATTTTTTCCTCCACACAATGTTCTTTGCTCTGTTACAGATAAAGAAGACTACAGTTCTGCTGTGTACACCCTTACTGACAAACCGAGAGACAAACCTCTGCCATGCTTTCTGTGCACCCTAAGGCAAAATATATAGCGACATATGAAGCGATAGATATTTTGTTTCTGTGAATATAAAAAAATAAAAGCATCTTTCTGGTTTTCTACGAGTTATAAATCTACATCTGAAGCTCTAAAATCTACATTCTTTGCATCATGCACCAGCGTACAATTACAGGGAGGGCAAGCCGTACAGAAATACATGACCGAGGTCCTGTTTTTTTAGAGGTCTAAAGTGCATCATGTGCCATTCATTTCTTACTTAAGTCACTCACTGGGGCAGCAGAGGTTCGTCTCTCGGCTCGGTCAGTAAACACTTGAGGATGTGTTTATGGATAGACAAAAGCAACGCGTGTGTGGATAGATAGAAGGGAAAGAGGAACAAGTGCGCCACATCCTGCCCAGATCCACTCCCTCCCATCATCTGTTCACAGAAAAGAGGCACTCTGAGGGGTCATCGCTGTCTTTGGAAGTGCCTTTCTGTAAGGTAAGAAAATATCTGAGGAGCTTCTCTGGTGTGTGTTTGAAGACAGCAGGCTGAATGAGTCAGTGGTTATTATTACCTCCCTGTATTACTCTCTACACACACTCCGCATCTCATCTCATTATCTGTGTCCAGTCTCAGAAGCTGGAGGTTTTGGATCTCTATCAGCCTGCTACCTTCAATTAAATCTCCCTTTACGTTAAATACAGATTATTATTAGAGGTGAATTCAAGTTTCCCAGAGAGGCTGTTGTAGTTTCACTTGAGGGTACAGAGGAAAACACAAAAACTGAAACCAACAGCAAAGAGTAATTTAAAATGGTTACTTGATTGGTTCTTTGGAATCCATTTAAAAAAAAAAAAACAGCTCTTGCGTCTGAAGTGAAACAAACTGTCCTTTAAAGTTCCTATGAAACAGCTAACAGAGAGATGTTTGATTCTGATTTTCCTTTAAAAACAGAAGACTACCAAAAGGACTACAAGCAGATTTTTTATGTCATTAAAAGGAGCCAATGGGGCGGCATGAAAAACAAATCTGAATCTGAAAAGGGTTCAAATGAAGCTGCTTCATTATTTTCATCAGCATGTTCTTCTCTGCTCTTTTGTTGATATTGTGACTGTGTCGTCCTACAGGAAGCATTGATATAAAGGAAAATATTCTCATTTTAGTGTCTGACTCTCTGTTGCTTCGTCTTCATTGTTCTTTTTACATCCTGTCCTGCCTCCTAAGACCCCCTCCCTCTTCCTCTCTCTGTGAGGGACAACAACCATCTCAGGAAGATTTCAGGAGCAGTCTGTCTGAAATCTTCAAGACATTTTTTCACAGGAGCTTGTTTGAAAACAGCCTAAATTACCTTTTTTTCCTTAAAGAATCTTTTAGTTTCATGAGAACCTTAAAGTAAAATTCAAAAAAACATATTTCTGTAATTTGTCAAGCACCTTGCTGATTACAGCCTGTTAAATGTCCATGTTTGCCTGTCTGTGTGTGATTGTGTGTCGACATGTTGCCCAGCATCTCACAGAAGCACTTATTGCTACAACAAATCCAAAACTCATGCGAGTATAACGTTCCTCCTGTACGCTAAAAACTCCCACCCTTACAAAAACACACTAGATCTAATACCTTAGTCCAGTCCACCTCCTAGACTAAACACGTTTCCACAGAGCTGGGATCATACTGCAAGTAAATATATGTTTGAATAAAACCACAACAGATTAAGAATGTATAACACAAAAAGGGAATTCATGAGCAAATTGAAGGACATGGCAAGTTGAGCGTGTGTTTTCCTGCACTAGTGACTGAGTGAAACAGTAAAAATAGGACCAGCACTGTCGCTGGCATCATGCAGTATTCAAACCTCAGAATGCAGTTTTATCTCATAGTGCATTATGTAACACACACACACACACAGAGCTACTGCAGACTTTTTGATGCAATTTATCTGCACTGCGTGCTGATTAAAAAGCCATCAAACTGTCTTTCAAAATGGACTGATGCTACCAATCCTGCTGTGAGTGTGTGTGTGTGTGTGTGTGTGTGTGTGTGTGTGTGTGTGTGTGTGTTGAACCTTTTTCAGTTAATGCCCTAGAGTAACGAGAGGAGGCAAAGATAACTTGTCCAACGCTGCTACTCTTGAGTGTGTTTACACAAGAATCCGGAAAAACTAGCTTGCGTCGCCTGAAACGGCAACACCGGAGAGTTGTCATGGTAACTGCTGCTTACAATGGCCCGAGGTGACTTCTTAAAGCAACAATACTGTCACTGCTTTTACATTTTTTTTTTTTTGCCATATTCTCCAAACTGTGGCTCCTCATTGGCCGACATCTTTGTTTTTTTTTGTTGTTTTTTTACATAAAGTCAGAGGCAAATGTGACAGCAGAAACATAAACACAAAAAAAAGTAAAGAGAGGACGTGAAGAGGAGACTTTCAGCAAGGTTTCAGCAAAGTTCATCATTGCTTCTTTCCCTCCATGAGTCCATGTTTCTCCTCCGCTTACAGAGGGAGTGGGACCTCTCCATAGTGTGTGTGTGTGTGTTTTCTCACAGTGTATCAGAGGGGGTGAAGCTGTTTGTCACAGTGGTGTGTGCGGACATGTCAGACCACACATGATTGGCAGTTAAATGAGGTGAGTGAGTGTGATTTTTGAGAAAGGTAGGTAGTGAGTAGTCTGGATTCAGCGACAGAGAGAAGGACCTCTTCTTTTTCCTTCTCTGTGTCCGTCTCTCTTTTCAGCGTAGCTTGTCCTCTGTGGGGTTTTTTAAAGATCGTCTTCTCCTTTCCCGTTTAGACGAAGGCCTCAGGCTTGCTGTCGCTGTTTATCTTGACATAGATCTTTGGGTCCTCGTCGCGCTCGTCTCGCAGACGCTGGAGGTGGCGGCTGTGGCACATCAGGTAGAAGGGCAGGCAGAATCCCAGCATGCTCAGTCCCAAGAGGCCCACGTTCACCTGGAGAAATACAAAAGAGTTAGAACACAACATAAAAAAACAGCTTCTCAAACAGAACTCAGGTATTTTTAATCATGGGCCATTTTTACTTATTTACATATTTTGGGGTCTAAATGTGTATTAGTTACAAAAAAGGTCAATACACACAAAAATAAATGGCTCACATTGTAATTCTAACTATATCATATATCAAAGCCATCTCCCCCTCTCCTGTTTTGTTATCTCTCACCGCAAACCTCATTGTTTTGTTTTTTTTTGGCTCTGCAACCTTTTTAAAAACAATCCATAAACACGGATCCATACATTCTGTAAGTTTGTCTAAAGTTGCCTCGACCTGGCAACAAACAGACTGAATCATTGGCTGTGTGCATGGCTGCAGAAAGTCGGGGCAAATGCTGGATAAAGGAACACGCTAACCAAAAGTATCAGGACAGGACAGTGTTCTGTTTTGGTTTATTGTCCGTCTGTCTTGCTCTCAGCATCGTCAGGATACTTTTACATTTATCATTTATTGGTTTAATATTCAACGCTCTTCAGTCACAATGATTTATCTCAATTCACAGACTCTGCATTGTCAGCAAATGAAATGTTTTTTTTCTTTTCTGTGTGTAGTAAATTTGTTTTCTGAGCTGTATTGACCAATCAAGTATCAGCAGGCTTTGGTGCATGCAGGAAAAACAGTCTGTGTTAGAGGGCTAATGCAAATCTTATAGGAGCTAGCGGCTATATCATTGCTGCAGGCAGGAAGGCGGTCAAAAGGAAAGCTAGTGCTTACAATGATGGAATTAATATGATGAAGAAAAGAAGATTAAAGTAAGTTACAAAGACAAAGAGGTGCAAGCCGGACATTTAGACACATTCTTGATTTACAAAGGGGGGG